GCAACTGCCCCAGCTCCCAGGATCCAAGGAGTGGGTTCAAAGGCAGACGTGAGATCCCCAAAGACCTAGCGAAATGATACTGGGGAGAAAATAAAGTTTAATTAACTGATCTCAGATGACCACAATAGCAAACGATTTGAAAATTGAAAAGATGTGATTTTAGTTAAGTGGTGGTGAGTTGGGCATGCTCGTTCATTTATTCACTCAACACACATTTATTGAGCACTTGCTCTATGCCTGGCTGAGTGCTAGGCCTTGTCTATTCAGGAGGGATCAAGACAAGTGAGACTCCCACCCTCACGGAACTTAGGGCTGAGGGGAGACAAATCATAAATAAACAGTGTGATCAGAGATGGGAGATTGTTACCAAGGAGACAACAGGAAAGATAACTGGAGACATCTCCTTAGACGGAGGTTTGGGAGTCTGAGACGGTAATGCAAGCCGGACGCCCAAAGATATTTATCACCTTATCGCTAAGAACCACAAAAAGGTTTAAAACCATGTAAATGGACAATATTAGGGAAACAGCAGTTCAGGGAACCATGTCTTCTAATGTTTGTGAAAGTTGTGTGTGTGTGTGTGTGTGTGTGTGTGTTTTGTTTTGTTTTGTTTTGTTTTTGAGACAGAGTCTCATGCTGTCGCCCAGGCTGCAGTGCAGTGGCACAATCTCGGCTCACTGAAACCTCTGCCTCCTGGGTTCAAGCGATTCTCCTGCCTCAGCCTCCTGAGTAGCTGAGATTACAGGCACCTGCCACCATGCCCGGCTAATTTTTGTATTTTTAGTAGAGACGGGGTTTCACCATAACGATCCGGCTGGTCTCGAACTCCTGACCTCAGGTGATCCGCCCGCCTTGGCCACCCAAAGTGCTGGGATTACAAGCGCGAGCCACCGTGCCCGGTCAGAAAGTTTTAATGATATACAGTGTGTTATGAATTATGTAAAATATTTCTAGGAAAAATACTGGAAGAACATCTGCAGGTATAGGACCAGTGGGTTTCTCAGGGTGGTGAAGTGAATGGCGCTTGTTTTCTGGTTTGCTTGAGTGTGTACGTGTATTCTGGTTTTTGGTTTTGCCTTTGTTTTTTCTGATTTCTCTATAGGAAGTATGTAGTAATTTCATTTTTTATTTTTTACTTTTTCCTTGGACAGAATCTCGCTCTGTCACTCAGGCTAGAGTGCAGTAGTGTGATCTCGGCTCACTGCAGCCTCTGCCTCCTGGGTTCCAGAGATTCTCCTGCCTCAGCCTCCCGAGTAGCTGGGATTACAGCACATGCCACTACACCCGGCTAATTTTTGTATTTTTAGTACAGGCAGGGTTTCACCATGTTGGCCAGGCTGGTCTCGAACTCCTGACCTCAGGTAATCTGCCCACCTCAGCCTCCCAAAGTGCTAGGATTACAGGCATGAGCCACTGTGCCCAGCCGTAAATTAGTTGTTTTTAAAAAAAAAAAAAAAACAGGAGCAGGCCAAGCCCTCCCCATGGGCCATTGAGGCTTTGCCCTCCCCAACTTGCCCAATGCTGCCATCTTTGATGATGAAGAAGGAGGAGGAGGAGGAGGAAGAGGAAGAGGAAGAAGGGGAAGAAGGAGAAGGAGGAGAAGAAGGAAGAGGAAAGAAGAAGAAAAAGAAAAAGAAAGAAGGAAGAAGAAGAAGAGCTGACATTGGACAGCCTTGGGGACTTAGCAGCTCCCATTATTGGGGGGCATATCCTGATCACCAGATTTCCTTAATGAAGCTGTACCTGGCCTACTCAACCCCAGTAACTGGCCCAGGCTTGTATCAAAGACCAACGAATTTTCAGACTTTATTTTTCTTCTGAAAGAACAGAGCAAACATTCTCCTGATACCTGCCAGGTAGCAGAGCGAGAACAAAGAAACACCCTACCAGTTCCTGCAAATCAATTGGTCTAAAAAATGCCCCTCAGAAATAAAGAGAAAAACAAGCAAACCACTTCAAACGCTTCTTTGACACGAATTCACGCTGTGACCAATGGCTTTATGCAGACTGTTAACAAACAGGTCAGGTTGGGGAAAGCTCAGAGGGCCTCCGCTTGGGCCCTTTTCCTTCTCAAAAACAATAGGAAAATAAAAAACAACTCTTTTGCTGATTCAAATGGATATATTTGGCCAAAGCTCATTAAACGAATGAGAAAAATCAGTGCTGAGGTCATTTCTCATCTCTTGCCTTCAAGGTCGAGGTCTGGGCTCCTAATCACCCCAAATCATGGGGGAAAGGGTATGAAAAAAGAACCCATCACTGAGTCCCCCGAATAAGAGGGTGCCCCCCCAATATTTGGTTTAGCAAGAATGCCAGCCTTGTTGCATCTGTTAATTTCATTCTCATTCCAGCTTGTTTCATGTCTGAGTTTTGACAATGAAAGAAATGTCATTCTCATTCTCGTGGCCAGCTCTTGGTCACCTCTTCCAGGCAGCCTCTCTGATATGCCCCCAACTCTCCAGGCTTGCCCATATAATATTCGGGACATACTTATAAGGTGACAAGTAGATTAGCCCCCAGGGTTCAGACGGGGCAGACACATCACCTCGCCCAGTGCAGAAACAGACTCTGCAACAGTGGTTCTCCAAGCAGGGTCCCTGGACCAGCAGCATCAGCATTGCCTGGGAACTTGTGAGAAATGCACATTCTCAGGCCTCACCCAGAGCTACTGAATTAGAAACTCTGTGGACAATACTCAGCAATGTGTAAGAGAGTGTGTGTGCATGTGCGTGCACGCGCGTGCTTAGCAACTTTTTTTCTTTCTTGTGGTGTTGTTGTTGTTGTTGTTGTTGTTGTTGTTGTTTTCTGAGATGGAGTCTTGCTCTGTCTCCCAGGCTGGAGTGCAGCCGCACGATCTCTGCTCACTGCAAGCTCCGCCTCCTGGGTTCATGTAATTCTCCTGCCTCAGCCTCCGGAGTAGCTGGAACTACAGGCGTGTGCCACCATGCTCAGCTAATTTTGTGTGTGTGTGTGTGTGTGTGTGTGTGTGTGTGTGTGTGTGTGTGTATGTTTTGGGGTTTTTTGTTTGTTTGTTTGAGACGGAGTCTCGCTGTCTCTCAGGCTGGAGTGCAGTGGCGCCATCTCGGCTCACTGCAAGCTCTGTCTTCTGGTTTCACGCGATTCTCCTGCCTCAGCCTCCGAAGTAGCTGGGACTACAGGCGCCCACCACCACGCCTGGCTAATTTTTTTTTATTTTTAGTAGAGACGGGGTTTCACCTTGTTAGCCAGGATGGTCTCGATCTCCTGACCTCGTGATCCGCCTGCCTTGGCCTCCAAAAGTGCTGGGATTACAGGTGTGAGCCACCGTCGCCAGCCTAATTTTTTGTATTTTTAGCAGAGACAGGGTTTCTCTATGTTGGCCAGGCTGATCTCGAACTCCTGACCTCAGGTGATCTGCCCGCCTCAGCCTCCCAAAATGCTGGGATTACAGGCATGAGCCACGGCACTGGCTGAATTTCTTTAATGACCAATGATGTTGAGCATATTTTCATGTGCTTAGTTGCCATCCATTTACGCTTTTTTTGTACATTCCATCTTTTGCCCATCTTTTTTATTGGGTTTTTCATTTATGAGTTTTGAGAATTACTTTGATATTCTAGATAAAAATCCTTTATCAAATAAGTGATTTGCAAATATTTCCTCTCAGTCGGTGGCTTGCTTTTCATAGTAATAGTGTCTTTCAGAGAGCAGATGATTTAGGCCAAGCTCTGTTCTAAGCATGTTATATACATCATTTCATTTCACCCTCACAACAACCCTATGAGGCAGATGCTGCTACTATCCTTTTGATAAAGTTAATTTGTTCTCTTATGGACTGGGATTTTGATGTCTCATTTAAGAAATCTTTGCCCAGCTCAGGGTTACAGAGATTTTTCTCACTTTTCTTCTAGAAATTGTGTGGTTTGAAGTTTTACAATTAGATCTGTGATTTTTTTGTTAATTTTAGTATATCATGTGAAATATGGATGGATTTATTTTTTCTTTTTTTTTTTGGCACCAGGATATCCAATTATTCTAGCACTATTTGTTTCCCAGACATGTATGTTTGAAAAGAGGCTTTGGAATGGAAATTAGCTAATTCCCTCCATCTGGTGAACTCCTATTCATCCTTCAAAACCCAGGCCAAATGTTCCCTTGGCTAAGAAGTCTTCCCTGGCAAAGGCCAAGTAGCTCTATCAGCTATCCTGTGGTGCTGCAACATTTCGTGCAACCTCTGACATATTCTTATCTCACATGATTGCATTAATTTCCAAGTCTGTGCCTCCTGCTAAAGTAAAAATTCATGGATGAGGACCATACTCCTAGCACTCAGCAGAAGCATACACCTAATATAACACAGGCCCAGCATAGGTGGTGGTAAAGGTATTTGGGAGAGAAGGGAGAAAACAATGGTTAAAATAATTGAATAATAAAATATCAAACCAGTGAACCATTTGCTTTTTTAAACAATGAAATACCTAACTCTCGGCCCCACTCATAGACTATATTCATCACGAAACCATCTCTGAGTGCACCTACCCAAGTTAACCACCAGTAGTATTGACAAAGAGCACCCTATTGATTGATTTAGGCCAAGCCCTGTTCCAAGCACGTTATACACATCATTTCATTTCACCCTCACAACAACCCTATGAGGCACGTACTGCTACTATCATTATTGTACTGAAGAAGAGACAGACCTCCTGGGAGATTAAGGTCCACGCCTGAGGTTCACCTACTTAATAAGTATCAGAGCTGGGGCTTGAACTAGACTGATTCCAGGGCCCTAATCCTACCTCTAAGGTATACTACGTCTGGTTTCCTTTATTTGTCCAAGTCTCCTTTACCCAACAAGCCCAGACCCTACAAAGACAGCCCCTGACTCTTCCACATGACCAACCCTTGCCAACTATGAACCCCAGTACCAAAGGAGACAAGTTGCACGGCGACTCCTCATCACCCTCTCATCTGGCCCCAGGGACACGGACTCACATCCCACCCCTGAGGGACCTCCTCCTTACCTTGGACCACGCGCCCATGCCAAAGGAGCTGCTATCCGCCATCTGGTGCAGGTTCAGCTCCGTCCTGGAAGCACAGAAGGAACCAGGAGTCAGTGGGCTGTTCACACCAGGCCTGGCAGGGCAGGTGGTCGTCACAGTGTGTGGGGCTCCATGCAACTACCCAGACACCCCAGGGACTGTCCCTGGCCTTGGCCCCACTAACTCTGCCCTGGGACATCTTCGATCTCCCAAATATTCCTCATGCATAGCCCTCCCTTGGCCCTTCCTAAACGCCAGGAAATCCCAGGAGAAAGCGTTGTAGAGGAAAATCAGGAGAGCAGGGACTAACTCCAGATCTTCTAATCAGCTGGGTGGCCTCACTCAAGGATAATATTGAAACAGTCAACACAAATGAGCCCTTGCTTCACGTTAAGTTCTAACATGACTCATGACAGCCCCACTCCATCGGTACAATCATTTCCATTTCACCGTTGACAAAACAGAGGCACTGAGAGTGGGTACCTGCCCCAGACCTTCACAGCTAGCAAACACGCAGCCAGAAGCTGAGCTGAGGTCTGCTGGCCCTTCCAGCCCAGACTCCACGCTATCCTGCCATGTGCGTCTCTCCCAGCCTCAGTCTGCACTTTATGAAGCAACACGATGTTTAAGGCTCCTTCCCATGTTCAACCTGCAGGCTCCTCGAGAGTGAGACCTGCAGATGCGCCACCTACTTTTGTAGGCTTGAAGAATGCAAGCCAAAGGCGGGGTGGGTACGGCTATGCCCCCTGCCCCTTCGAATCACACTCTCCACTCACAAAAGCACTGTAGAGCCCCGCCTAGGATCCCCAATCCCCATGCGGGCTCAAATTGGTTCCTGGAAAGCTGGGGGCGGGGGTTACTCATCAGTCTCCAGCCAGCTTGTCTGGTTCTGAGGCCTTCAGCGTCCTCTCCCTAGATTCTCTACAGACCCCACACCCCTCTCTGCCTCGTGACTTGGAAGGACTCTTACCAGCTAGGCTTCAACTCCAACCCCAGTGCTGCCATGTGGCAGACAAGGTAATTCTCTTCTCTGCAACTCACGTTTCCTTATCTGTAAAATGGGCTCCCTACCTCTTCTTGCCTCCCAGGATTAAATGAGATATTGTACACTGCCGGGCTGGCACGGAGTAAGAGCTCTGTTTTCCTGACACTCTCTTCCATTCACTGGAAATTCAATCTGACAAATAATTAAGAAGCATCTACCTGGTGCCAAGCCCTGTGCGAGGTACTGGGAAGGCAGAAAGAAGGACAACAGGGCCCCTGATTCAAAGATCTCCCAGTCCATCTGGTGAGGAAGGGAGACCTGCACTGGCAGGTTTTTGAACCAGAAGCACATACCAGGCACCAAAATGGTAGAAAGGAGAAACCGAGGAGCAAGAATCAGACACTGCTCCTCTTAAAAAGGGATTTGGAGTAGGGTTTTAAAGGATGACTAGGAGTTTGCCACATGAGTGCATGACAGAAAGGACATTTGGGCAAGTGGGAACCTGATTTTGACCTTTGGAAGCTTCCATGTCGGTGAGGGACCAAGTTGGCAGCGGCAGAGGTAGAGAAAGGGAAGTAACTGGGGGATTAACAAGGAACCTTCAGAATGACAATGACTCCCTGAGGGGACTGAGTTGCTCCAAGCACTTTACTCCCTTGGGGTCCCTGAAACTCATCTAGGCAGCCCTTTCCTCTCAGACGCAGCTTTGGCCCAGTTCCTAAGGATGCCAAACTCAATAAGGATGCCTCCAGCATGGAGGGCCCCCGGCCTGGGCCTGGCTGGGAGTAGAGGTCGGGCATCCTCTGCTAGCCGCAGTTGAGCCTCATCCTTCCTGGGTCCACCTCAGGGTAAGCCTCCAAATCCCCCTCTCCAGCAGGCAATGCTTCTATCCTCAGAATCAAGCCCCACCCATGGGGTGCAGAAGAGAGCGCCCCAGTGTGGGGCTCCAGGGCTGGAACAGGGGTGATGTGTGTGTCCTTCAGTGTTCTGAGAGGTGAGAAAATGGAGGTCCCAAGAGGTGAGGCCATGGGGCTGAAAGTGGGGCTCAAACTCCTATGTTCAGGGTCCACCTACCTATTCCTTCCTGCATTACACCGTTACTATGCACCACACATGGTGCCTGCTGCCTTGACATGTGATCTCATTTAAATGCCTACGGGGTTGGTACTAGTAGGAACCCATTTTACAGAAGGAGAAATCAAGGCTCAGAGAAGCCCATGTGGGGCAAAGCCAGGATCAAACCCATGTCCCTCTGAATCCAAAGTCATTCCTTTGGATGACCTGGTCAGGGCCTGGTCAGGGCCTGTCGGGGGTATCAAGGCAGATCAAATCCTCCAAAAACAAAAAACACACACAAAGCAATCGCTATGTCCGGGCACTATTTTAAGAAGTATTGTTGGCTGGGCGCGGTGGCTCACGCCTGTAATCCCAGCACTTTGGGAGGCCGAGGTGGGTGGATCACGAGGTCAAGAGATTGAGACCATCCTGGCTAACAAGGTGAAACCCCATCTCTACTAAAAATACAAAAAATTAGCCAGGCGTGGTGGCGGGCGCCTGTAGTCCCAGCTACTCAGGAGGCTGAGGCAGGAGAATGGTGTGAACCCGGGAGGCAGAGCTTGCAGTGAGCCGAGATCGCACCACTGCTCTCCAGCCTGGGCGACAGAGTGAGACTCCATCTCAACAAAAAACAAACCAAAAAAAGTATTGTCTACCTGTTCATATTTTAACTCTCACCACAACACTGTGATATAGTCACATCTATTTTTGTAGATAAGGAAAGTCAGGCTCAGAGAGGTGAAGTCATTAGCTCAAGGTCACACAGCCGACAAGTGGAAAAGCCAACATACAAATCCACACAGCCTGGTCCCCGAGTTGGTGGTCCTTATCACTCTGCTATACAACCCTACTCCAAGTTCTCCTACAGATTCCCAAGACCTTCTAGAAGTTTCCCTGCTGCTCAGTTACTATCACTCTGAAAAGTGGGAGTTCCTTCTCTTCTCTGCCTTCTCTCTGCAGGTTATAGCTGTCCCTCCAGCCTTAGCCAGGACACACAGGACAGGTTGAGGCTGCCCTTCAGATGGGGAGGGAAGGCTGGGGAACAAACAGTGATGAGGTTAGAGCACAGTAACCACAAATTATCACCCCTCATGTGGGAAAACTCATTTTCTCTCTCTCTGGCGCTTCACGAGGACCGTGCCCATCCATCCAACAGAGGAGGAAACCAAGGCTCTGGGAGAGGAAGCCACATAAGCCACATGCCTAACGATGCCCTGTAGATTTGGGGAAGGGCAGAGATGGCTTTTTAGGCCACCTCCTCCAGGAAGCCCTCCAAGATGAGGCTTGCCTGACTACCCAGCTCACTGCCCCACTCAGCGGCAGGTCTGTCCCGAGGAACCTCATGTAGGCATACCCTACTATACACCCAAAGCTTCCACAAAAGTTTAGAAACTTCTGGAAGATGTGGGGGTCTGCTGTCCCTCTCCCTCTTCCCACACCGCCGCCAGAACCAGTATTGACATGCCACTATCACAGCAGACAGCCTTGACTCCCAGCATTTATAAAGAGCTGAATGTGAATTATCTCAGTTCTATAAGGTCTAAGAAAGGTGTTGTTTCCACATTACAAAGAAAGAAACCGAGGCTCAGGGTGGATGACATGTGACCAAAGTCACCCAGCCCAAGAGCTGTGTGTACCCAGGCAGCTGGAATCGGAGACCATGTTCCTAATCCCTGGGTCCCATGGCCTCTCAGTACTGGGCAGAAGCTAAGGCTGGGCCCCCAAAGAACAGGTGCTCTTTGTTGCACTGCCCTCGGCTGTCTCTACCTGCCCCACATGCTCACCTGAGATCCAAGTCCAATCCAGCCAGCATCTGGGAGAAAACCTGGAAGTTACTTTCCCCTTCCGGCTGCCGCGCCACACGGCTCTTCTCCAAAAGCATTGTCTGCAGGGAGAGAAGAGGGGCACCCAGTCAGCGCTTTGCGTACATCTGCACATGCCTGATGCCCAGCTACCCGGGGTGCCCCACTCTGATCCACTCCTTTTTTTTTTTTTTTTTTTCCAAGATGGAATCTCGCTCTGTTGCCCAGGCTGGTGTACAGTGGTGTGATCTCGGCTCACTGAAAGCTCTGCCTCCTGGGTTCATGCCATTCTCCTGCCTCAGCCTCCCAAGTAGCTGGGACCACAGGTGCCCGCCACCACGCCCGGCTAATTTTTTTGTATTTTTAGTAGAGATGGGGTTTCACAGTGTTAGCCAGGATGGTCTCCATCTCCTGACCTTGTGATCCGCCCATCTCAGGCTCCAAAAGTGCTGGGATTACAGGCCTGAGGCACCGTGCCCAGCCTCTGATCCACTCTTTGAGTCAACATCTCAGGTCCAAATTTTGCTGGCAACCTCCATATCAGAACTTCTCATCCTTTATCTCACTAATTCAGAGTCCACCTAGGAAATTAACTAATGCAATAGATTCAGTCCAATTAAAGTATCAAAGGTACCTTAATTGGTAGTAACAATCAAATGAGGCCACCTTCCAACATATTCCCTTTTTAATAGAAGCCTTTAATACCTTAACCCAAATAGTGATTAAGGGTAGGATTTCAGGGCCAGGACAGAAAAGGGACTTACTTGGCGTGGAGGGGTTTTCCTTGAGTCTGGATATTATACCAGCTCCACTTTACAAACAACTCTTCTAATAACCTAATCCTATTTTCTGTTCAAGCAGGACGTCTGAGGGAGACGGGGAGGGGTGCGGGTGATTTTGGAGATGGGGACAAACAGGCCATGTGTTCATCACACACGGACTGTTGCGGAAGGCTGGCGAATGTCTGTTTAATTTCAACTTGCGCTTTTAAGACCTGGCTAATGAGAGGCTGAATTCTGTATTTGCTCATGAATATTTCATTCCCCTGACAGTCCGAAGCACAGACGGGCTGGCTTGCTCCAGAAGGGATGTTCCAGGGCACCGAGTGAGGTGGGGGGCAACTGGCCCCAGTTAGGGGATCCATGACCATTTCATTATTTATTATTATTCTTACTTTTTTTGTGTGTGAGATGGAGTTCCCCTCTTTTTGCCCAGGCTGGAGTGCAATGGCACGATCTCGACTCACTGCAACCTCCGCCTCCTGGGTTCAAGCAATTCTCCTGCCTCAGCCTCCCGAGTAGCTGAGATTACAGGCACCTGCCACCACGCCCAGCTAATTTTTGCATTTTAGTAGAAACAGGGTTTCACCATATTGGTCGGGCTGGTCTCAAACCCCTGACCTCGGGTGATCCACCCGCCTCGACCTCCCAAAGTGCTGGGATTACAGGCGTGAGCCACCACCATGACCATTTCAGACACATCCTAGAGTCCCAGCTGGAGGCATGGGCTCTACTGAGTGGGGCTAGAGACACAGCAGCCTCAAGGGCCCCCTTGCACGTCCCCCCAGAGGCCTCACCTGGAGCTGAGCAGCCGTGATGCGGCCGGTAGCATTGAAGTCCAGCGACATCACCATGGAGAACCGGGTGGCGCTGCAGCTGTGAGCCATGGACACAGAGCCAAAGGCCCGGAGGACAGTGAAGGTGGCTCGGATCTTCTCCACTGTTGGGGGCAGCATAGGGCCACATGTCACTGATGGACCAGGAGCTGCCACTCCCACCTCGCACAGGTCCACCTTTTCCATGGCCCCTGCTTGGGCCAGTCCTCATCCTGGCCTCAGCCCCCTGTGGGCTTCCTGTGAGCTTCCTGCCACCCACTCCCTGCCCAACCCAACTATAAACCACATACATTTCACTGAGCACCGATTGCTGGACTGACCCTGTACTACCAGCCCTGGTGTAGGGGAAACAAGACTCAATCTAGAAGGGCCAGGGATAGGCACCATCTGGGTAACAGAGGCTGCCCTAGGGCTTCCCAGACATAATGGAGCCTAGGAAGAGGTGAGGATAACACTCTGGGGCCTGCACTCACAGCTTAGAAGCAGGCTTGCAAAGCCCTATAATCTCCCCACTACTATTCATTGCATACCTACAATGCAACAAGCACTGTGCTAAGCACCTGGATACAGCCTGACCTGACTTCCACCCTCAGACGCATGCAATTCACAGCACAACTACATTCTGAGAGACTGTGCCTCTTCCCACTGTATCTCCAGTTTCTAGCATGAGCCAGACGTAAAGTAGGTGTTCAGCAAAGTATTGGAATAATCCTAGTGGAGAAGCAGTATAGCCAAGCGGTTAGAAGAGACTGAGGATCTTCCCTTTGCTGGTTACCTGATTTGGGGCAAATTAACTAGTTAATTATTAATTATTTATAATTAATTAATTAATAATCAAACAATTAATTGACTAATTAAATCTAATCCTCATGTGGCTGTCATGACGACTAAAAGTTTTGGGGGTTTTTTTTGTTTTTTGTTTTTGTTTTTGAGACAGAGTCTCGCTCTGTCGCCCAGGCTGCAGTGCAGTGCAGTGGCGGTTCACGCCATTCTCCTGCCTCAGCCTCCGGAGCAGCTGGGACTACAGGCACCCGCCACCACACCTGGCTAAGTTTTTTGTATTTTTAGCAGAGACGGGGTTTCACCATGTTAGTCAGGATGGTCTCGATTTCCTGACCTTGTGATCCGCCCACCTCGTCCTCCCAAAGTGCTGGGATTACAGGCGTGAGCCACCGCGCCCGGCCGAGGACCAAAAGATTTAATAATGTCACATACTTAGAAAATATTCCAAAGGTGGAACTATTATTATAGTTATTATTAGAAACACAATATTGCCTGCATCATGTATTCTCAATGGGAGGATATTGTCCCTGAGATGAGTAAAAACTGATTCTTAGAAGTGGTGGTAAAAAAAAATTTATACAAAAAATTAAATATAAAAAATATTTGTATAAATATATTTTATATTCTATATATGTATAAATATAAAAAAGTATATAAAAATGTTTATGTATAAAACATAAATATACATAAAGGAATATATGGCTTATCTGTGGTAGTAACATTTCACCATAGGGGAAATGATTAAGGGGAATAAATGTCTTAAAAGGCTTTTCAGAGTGTGCAATAATGAAAAAGAGCTGAGAACAGTGCCACAATGGTGAGAGCTCTACAGCCAGTAGGCCAAGGTTTGAATCTCAGCTCTAGGAGTATTTGCTGTGTGACATCAGGCAAGCTGAATCTCAATGCCTTCAATCTATAAAATTTAAATAATAGCATCTACCTTATAGGGCTGTCTTAGATTTAAAAAAAAAAAGTTCAGGCTGGACACAAGACTCACACCTGTAATCCTAGCACATTGGAAGGCCGAGGTGGGTGGATCGCTAGAGCCCAGGGGTTCTAAACCAGCCTGGACATGGTGAAACCCCATCTCTACAAAAAAAAAAAAAAAATAGCCAAGGGTGGTGGCGTGTACCTGTAATCCCAGCTACTCAGGAGGCTGAGGTGGGAGGATCACTTGAGCCTAGGAGGTCAAGGTTGCTGTGAGCTGAGATCACACTACTGCACTCCAGCCTCGGTGACAGAGTAAGACCCTGTCTCAATAATAATAATAATAATAATAATAAAGTTAGTATCCTTGGAATTGGGCCTGAAATATAGGTTTCAGCAAGCATTTACTAAGATCATTATTAATATTATAGTTGTTATTATTAATTGGTTTTTTTTTTTTTTTTTTTTGAGACAGAGTCTTGCTGTCTCACAGGCTGGAGTGCAGTGGTGCGATCTCGGCTCACTGCAAGCTCCGCCTCCCGGGTTTACGCCATTCTCGTGCCTCAGCCTCCCGAGTAGCTGGGACTAGAGGCGCCTGCCACCACACTCGGCTAATTTTTTGTATTTTTATAGAGACGGGGTTTCACCATGTTAGCCAGGATGGTCTCGATCTCCTGACCTCGTGATCCGCCTACCTTGGCCTCCCAAAGTGCTGGACTGCAGGCGTGAGCCACCGCGCCCGGCCAATTGGTATTCTTTTTTTAAGGCTCAGGTCAAATATCACATCCTAGAAAAAGCCCTCCTACAGCCCTCCTCTACACTCCCTGAGTTTCTTCCCTAGCCTGCTCTGCCAGCACTTTTTGAACAACACTCAAGTTTGAACGTAGGTACAGTTCAGTTTCCACTCCGGCTATTAGCTTCTATGAGTGTAGACTCTGTCCTTGAATCTTCACTCTTCGAGTCCTCTGTTCAGTTCAGCAGGTTGTGCACTGCCCAAAGACACCACATCCCTGGGGTGCCTCAATCACATCGCACTCTCCTAGATTTGTGTACGAATATTAGGATGATTTCCCAGCAGATGGCAGTCAAGTATCCAGTTCTAACAATGTCCATGTGTGATGACTGTTCTGCAAACAGCCATCAATGTCTTGAAGAAGGAGTACCTTATTCTAATTTCAACAAATATATCCCAGTGACCTAGGGATAGCCCTGCCCAGTAGCAAGCATGGGGTCTGTACGTATCTGGTGCTCAGTGAATGCTAGCTGAATGAATATAAGAAAGAGCAGCTCAGCACCCCCTTCCAGCTCTCCCCGTCCTGACCCCGACTCTACATGTCACCTAGAGACCACCGTACCTGAGACCTTGCCATCCACACTGCCTGCCATCCCCACCAGGTGTTCCAGGACCTGCTCACAGCAGGCGGTCTTCCCAGCCCCACTCCGGCCCAGGGCCACAACACTCTGGTCTCTCCCCTGGTTCAGTAGCGCCCAGTATGCCCGCTGGGCCATGGAGCCAATGTGGGCGGGCAGGCCATCCCGGCGGCCCTTGGGCACCTGCAGGAAGATCACAGGTGTCAGTCACCCCATCCAGCCGTTGCCTAGGGAGCATTCTAAAACAGTGCCCCTCCCCAGGCCTAGGGTCCAGATCTGTGTCCCTGCCTCCAGATCTGCGTCCCTGCCTCCCTTCCTACTCTACTGGGAGGAGCCGAGCCTGTGTGTCTAGTTCTGCCCCTGGAGCCCTGTGAGTCCTTGGACAACCCATGCCTGTTTTCTGAGCCTAGGTCTCCTCTTTAGTTAGTTAGAGGCCTGAATGAGAGCTACATTCGTCCATGAGATTCATCTCACTGGTTACTCAAAGCATCGCATACTATCTGCCTGAAGCGAGGCAGCTGGATCGAGGGCATAATTATCCATTACGATTAGTGATGTCTGCCATGGACACAGGGAACGGCACATGGGGGAGTTAGTGGTATGTGTGCTACATATTTGCTGTAACAGATTTAGGTGATACCTGAAATCATATGTGCTTCATCCACTCATTCATACTTCATTCAGTAAAATAATCCATTAGTGTCTACTATGCAGCAGGCACTCGGGCACAGCGTGACACAAAATGGATAAAGGAAATTCTAGCCAATTGCAAAGAGATACCATTATATGCCTATTACAATGGCTGAAAAAACATTTAACAGTCACTACCAAGTTTGGTGAAGATGAGGAGTGACTGGAATTCTCATACGATGCTAATGGGAATGCTGAATGATGCAGCCGCTATGGAAAACAGCTTGGCAGTTTCTTCTACAGTGAGATGCACACTCATTACCCCTCTCCACAACCCCACAACCCCTCTCCAGGTGTTTACCCTAAAGAAATAATGTATGTTCACAAAAAATCCCTCTATGTCATTGGTTATATTGACTATACATTCGAAATCACCAAAAACTAAAACAACACAAATGTCCTTCAACTAGTGAACTAGGATAATCACCCATCTTGGTTGTTCTTTTGTTTTTTGTTTTTGTTTTGAGATGGAGTTTTGCTCTCTGTTGCCCAGGCTGGAGTGCAACGGTGCCATCTCGGCTCACTGCAACCTCCACCTCCTAGGTTTAAGCGATTCTCCTGCCTCAGCCTCCTGAGTAGCTGGGCTTAAGGCGTGCACCACCATGCCTGGCTAATTTTTGTATTTTTAGTAGAAATGGGGTTTCACCATGTTAGCCAGGCTTGTCTCAAACTCCTGACCTCAGGTGATCCGCCAGCCTCGGCCTCCCAAATTGCTATCCTGGTTTTAGCATTGAAAGTCTCATGTCCCAGAAAACGTTTTAGTCCCAGGAAAACCAGGACAAGTGGTCACCCTATGAACAAATAAGTACAATGAAATAAAGTACAATGAAATAAGTACATCAGTGAAATAAAGGAACAAACTATGGATAAATAAAACCATACAGGTGAATCTCCAATGCATTGTGTTGCCTGGCAATTCAAAAGGTTACATACCATACAATGCCATTTACATGTTTTTTTTTGTTTTGTTTTGTTTTGTTTTTTGAAAAAGGCAAAACTATGGGGACAAAAAAAACAGATCAGTGTCTACCAGGGGTAGAACTTGGGGCTGAGTTGACCACAGAGGGGCCCAGAGAACTTTTGGGGGTGACGGGAACTGTCATGTAATTGATTGTTGAAGCAGTTACACAACTATACACCTTAGTTAAAAACACACAGAACTGGGCACTAAAAAGGTAAACTAGACTATAACGTAAATTACACCTCAGTAAACCTGATTTTTTTTTTTTTTTTTTTAAGTCCCTGCTTGGTGGAGCTTGCCTTCTGGTGGGAAGACAGAGATGATCAACAAAAGATATAATTCAATTGTAGTGAACGGGAGGCATTTGAAAGCCACAAGGCTGGATGAGATCACCAGGAAGAGTGTGGGGACGGAGCACCCTGACAGGCACAGGTCAGGGAGACCACAAAGAAGACTGACTGGGCGGCCAGTGGGCCAGAAGGAAAACCAGGAAAGCGGAGTCTTAGAGCCAAGGAAGGGTGTGTTTCCAGGAAGTGGGAGGAAAATGCTGCCGAGTTCAGTAAGAGGAGACCAGAGACTTGACATTGGATTTGGCAGCAAGGGAAGAGGGCGGGAGGTTACTGTGAGGTCAGCGGAGAGGCACCAAAAGAAACAAGAGGAATGGGCCCTGCTGCATGAGGATGCCTGAAGCCCAGGATACTGAGGGTGCCCACTGGGCCTGCCAAGGCCCCATCTGCCCTCCCTAGCGCAGTCCCTTGGCCGAACTAGGGGCACAAACCCCGGTGTGATGGCCCTCCCCTCAGTCTGGATGCCTAGCTTGGGGCTGGGGCTGTCCCCAATCCACTGTTGGCTTTTCCTGCTCCAAGCCCCTGAGGAACAGTCATGAGTCCCTATCCTGATGCCAGATGTAGGGCTCAGCAGGACCCTAATGCAGGCAAAGCGGGGATATGCCCCCACACTGGCTGACCACAGCCTTAGGGCTTAAGGCAGGCAGAGGGTCCTGGAGTCTGAGTCCTAGAGCCATCCCCCAGTCTGGGAAAACTAAAGTTCAAGGAACGGACAGCCCCATCCATCAGCCCGCTCAGGTCCACTGCCTGGAGGGAGAAGGAAGAATTCTGCACAGCCAGGTTCCTGAAGGCACTCATACATGTGTGCACACACACGTGCCTTCGCATCTGTGTACATGTGCCCTTGCACACATGCACGAAAGTGTGCTTGTAGGCACATGCACACAACAGTTGCCGAGGGCTCTGCACACCCATGCTCAAACTCACGCTCTTATTCACCAAGACCTGCACGCCCCCGGGCACACACCCAGACCCGGGTGGGTCTAGCCCCACAGTGAGAGAGGCCCCCAGTGTGGCCCAGACCCCACCCAGCCCATCCTCAAGGTGGTCTCAGCCTCGCCGCAGGCCTGTGCTCCCACCTGGTGGCCATTTGGGGAATCAGAGGTTGATCCAGCCTAAGGACAGGAGATGGGTGTGGGTTTGAGGGTGGGAAGCTGGAAGACTTGAGGGAAGGGTGGGGACCAGTGCCGCACCCCACCCCAGGGTTAGGAAGGGAGGTAGGGGGATCTACCTTCAGGGTGTGTACCAACGCCTGCACCTTTTAGCACTTTTGCCTAAGTTCCGATGCCTCGGTCCAGGACGGCCAATGAGGGCCTGCTTGCTATCTGGGCCTATAAAAATGTCCCTTCCAGGGATTTTCAGGGAGCCAGAGAAGTCACTCGGCAATTCAGACAGCTCAGAGGCCTTGGGTTGCAGTCACAGAAGCCTAAGCACTCATCACAGGGATGGGAGAGGGCACGCGCCAAGCTCTGGCCCACCCAGAGCTTCTGAGGTCCTCCCAGGGCCCTTGACCACGGACAGCTGTGATGGGAGAGCCGCTGGGAGTGACTGCAGGGGTGGCGTGGGTCACTCTGAGGAGAAAAGTCTTGGAGAGAGGGGTACAGGGCCACTATATCCCCTTTAATGGCTTTAGCATTGCTCAGGGAATAGGGATGGGTTTGTTCCACAGGGCCCCAAAGGGTAAGATGTGGCTTTTCACCCCCAGTTGGCAGAGGAGAACATGGAAACCAGAAGAAGTATCATGATCTTTCCTGGACACCAGGTGTCCTAGGGGCTTGTGACTTCCCACTGAGTCTCCAGAACAGCACACAGGTAAGATGTCTTGCCTCCGACAGGCCTCCCTGCCTCCACTGAGCCTCTTCCCATCTGTCCTCTACCCAGCAGCCAAAGGCATCCTTTTACAGCCTAAGTCACAGCACATCATTGCTCTGCTAAAAACCCCAGTAGGGACTCTCTCTAAGCCTACTCTGGCCGGGGAGGCGGCCCAGTTCATAAAAAATAAAAATCGGCCAGGCGTGGTGGCTCACGCCTGTAATCCCAGCACTTTGGGAGGCCAAGGCAGGTGGATCACAATATCAGGAGATTGAGACCATCCTGGCTAACACGTTGAAACCCTGTCTCTACTAAAAATACAAAAATTACCCAGGCGTGGCAGCGGGCGCCTGTAGTCCCAGCTACTCGGGAGGCTGAGGCAGGAGAAAGGCGTGAACCCGGAAGGCGGAACTTGCAGTGAACGGAGATCGCGCCACTGCACTCCAGCCTGGGCAACAGAGTGAGACTCCGTCTCAAAAGTAAGTAAGTAAATAAATAAATAAATATCCACAGTAGCTGCCATCCCACTCAGAGTAAAAGCCAGAATCATCATCCTGAGAACTGACCCCGGCTCTGCCCTGGCTTTTCCGAACCTCTCCCACCTCTTCCTCCACTCATCTGCTCGGGCCACTCTTATCTTTATTGTTGATGGTCTGTCTTTCCTTCCTAGAACAGCAACTCCACAAGGGCAGGCTTGCTCGCCCGGCATCTTCCGTGCTGCTCTTTGTGCCTGGCCCGGTAGGAGAGCCTCAATCAATAGCTCAATCACTATTGAATTACTGAAGGGCCGCGCTTCAGTGACTCGGCTGAGGTGCCTCGTGCGTCCACAAGGTGGCGCTTAGAGATTTCCTTTGCTCTTGTCCGTCTCAACAAAAATCGGCCGTTTCTACACTTGCGAGGAAAAAAACTAAAGCACAACTGCAGCTTCCGTTTCCCCGTTGATGTGGGTGCTCAGGACTCCCAAGAGTTCAGCAAGAGCACACAGGAGCCCGGTGCCCTGGGTTTTCTCCCAGCTCCTCTGCTTGCTAGACCTGAGAGTTTAGCCTACGCCTGGCCCAGCTGGCTCTTCTCATCTGTAAAATGGGCTAATCACAGTACCTGTGTTTTCAGGTGGATATGTGAGAATGAACTGAGTTAATACACGGTGCATGAGGCAGTGTCTGGTAGAGTTCATACTCATTCAGTATTTTCTTTCGTTATTCTTGTGGCATTTCATGCTGCTGTTTCTGTCCTAATGGTGACTGATCTTTCCACCCAGGGAATGGGGGAATCTCATGGTCCACGCCACAGGATGCCCACAATGCCGCGAGAAGGACGCTGCTTGCAGACAGGTAGACTGGGGGCTCTCATGGTTGTACTGTCACCTCAGATGCAGAGGGATCCCCCCAGACCCTCCTGCCCTCAGCTTCCCAGCCCTGCCCCCCATAGTCCCACCTCACCTTCCCTGCAGACGGCACCGAGGGCCCCCGGGGCTGGAGGACGATCAGATCAGGTCCCGTGCAGGTGTGCGGCCGCTGAGCCCTGTAGCGCTGCAGAAGCGTGTTCAGGACACTGGATTCGTTGATACTGATGAGAGAGGCCAGGTCCTCGGCCTGGTCCAGCTCAGGGGGGTTGGCCTGTGAAACCGTCACATAGAGTCTCCTCTGGCCTCCTGGGCCCCCAACACACACACACACACACACACACACACACACACACACAGCCCTCCTTTTGAGAGCTATGTGCCAAAGACCGGAACAGAGCACAGGGACTCTGGATGGGAAGTGATGAAGCCCTACGAATAAAATAGGGCCATGCCTTCTCCTTGTCCTCTGTGGACAACCCCTCTTCGCTGTGGTCCTGCACTCGGTGGACCATGAGGGCAGACGCTCCCAAGGCAGACTTGACGAAATTCAAAGCACTTTCTGAATCTCAAACACCACAAAAAGACAGGTGATGCTCCAGTGTGTGCGAGCATTCACTGCCATTTCCTTCTCTTCTGGGTCTTATGGAGAAGCTGTCAATATGCTCCGTGATACCCAGGAGAGGAGGCCAATGGCCAAACCGCCTCACTGGTCTCATAGCCCATCATGCACTGATTCCTAGGAAACCATCTGATTCCTAGGAAAAACCACTGATTCCTAGGAAACCTTAGCAGCAAGGGGTGTGTGAAGCTGCTTCCTGAAACATCTATTCTAAGAGGCGTCCTATCATTCTCTCCAGCTTCAGGGAGTTTTCTGAACCTAGTAGTCTCGGGTTTGGGCCAAGCTTGAGCCCTCTCATAGATCAGCCTTTCTTGCAAGGCCACTGAGCCTTTGTAAACGCCCAACGTGGGAGAGGAAGCCTGAGGTGGGCAGAGGAGGAGCAGAAAGGAATGCAAATGAGCAAGGAGGAAAACTCCTTCTAAATTATCAGGCTGCAAGGGGGTGGAAAGGGGATGATAGAACCTTTTTTTTCTATCATTACACTGTGATTTGTCCTCAAAAGGATTTATGGTGCACAACAAAAAATGTATTCAAAACAATTTAAAGAGCAAAGCTGAAAGTAAGTTTGATGCCGAAATATAGGCCATTGGAACCTATGCTGTGGTTAAGGGCAGGCAGCAAATTTGGCTCTGAGTTCCCTGGCAGCCAGAGTGAAAACAGAAACATGCTCTGTAGTATGATTTGCAATACGTATAAAATTAAAAGCAGTCATTTTTTTGGGTCCATCAGAAGAACTCCCAGTTCTAAGACCTGATAAACATGTCC